GAGTAGAGTAGAGTAGAGTAGAGTAGAGTAGAGTAGAGTAGAGTAGAGTACTATATATTTTTATTGGGCAAGTATGAATGGACACATAAGGAATTTGTCTCCGGTTCTCAGCATACATACAAGCAACAAAGTGATAAATCATAAATAATAAGATACGATCATAAAGCATAAGATACAACCAACAAAGTGATAGCAATAGTGGGATTCAATTTTTTTTACTACCTGTTCTGTGGGCATGGCTTGGTGAGCGTGGCAGGGGAAGGATACTGTAAAATCTCCAGCCAGAGGAGGTATTTGCAAGTTCTTTGAACTACCTAAAATTTCCACTACCGGTTCTACAGAAGTGGCCAGAACCTGCTGAATACCACCTCTGAGTGATAGTCATAAGACACCAATAGGAATAGCTAATAGGAAAGATGAGAAGGATAATAGTAATACAGTCCTGCTACACGGTAAGATATCCTTAGGCATAAGACAGTGTTAAGTGTTAGGGAATTAGGTGTTTTAGCAGAGTGAGGGCACGGGGGAAAAAATATTAGGGAGCAAAGGAAAAAAGAAAGTGAGTAGATATATTATTATAGCTTCCTAAGATAGACCATCCATCTTTTGATTTCCTGTGATATTTTATTTGCAATTCACATTGCTATAAGTGAATTGAAGAATTCTAAACAAACGTTGGTTTGAAAGCAAGCAGGCAGTTGCTTGGTTAGATTTATATCCTAGCTTTCCACTTTTGACTCTTCTAGCTGTTTTTCTGTTTTTTCACGCCCAAGCAAAAGGCCTCAGGTGCTTGCTTTGAATTTTTGCTGTGTGAAACTTTGGTTATTTTCTGAGATAACTAATCCCGTGACCAGAAATGCTGTTTTTGATTGCTGTCATGGGGTTGACTCTTTGTTTTTAGGGAGAATTTGAAGTCTGGTATGACTAGCCCTACCCTTCAGAGCCAAACTACGGGGAAATTTGCAGTACATTGAAATCTCTTTTAGTTAATTTAATTTTTTAGTTAATTTAATTTTTTTAAAAAACCATCCAGTATTGCATATAAGTTTAAAATTGTATTTAAATACATGAAATATTTATGTGTTTGAGTCACATTTGTTGCCTACCTTAAATGAAATAGAGGTGGTTTTTTTAGTCCACATCCAACACTTGTAATATTTAAAATGTTTATATATTTATAATTGTTCTTATATTGATATTTTTATTGCACTTTAAACTGCCCAGATAGTCAAATGAGTGACCTATAAATTTAATAAATATTGTTTTCTTTAAAAAATGCATTTAATACATCATTATGGTCATGAATACATTGTTATAATCTCTTCACTGTTTAATTGTGATGCAAGTGATTTAGGAGGACTGAACCATATAAAGGCCTTTAAAACAATTAGTATCTGGTGCAGAAAACAAGGTCCACACATGAAGGTTCAAAATTACGGATTATTGCTCAAGCCTATAAGGAATCTTCTTAAATGTATGGTTTGCACCTGCATATAGTGTTCCAATATCTGAGGGGCAGCCCCAAAGAAGAGGGAGTCAAGCTATTCTCCAAAGCACTTAAGGCAGGACAAGAAGCAATGGGTGGAAACTAATCAAGGAGAGAAGCAACTTAGAACTAACAAGAAATTTCTTGACAGTGAGAAAAATTAATCAGTGGAACTACTTGTCTTCAGAAGTTGTGAATATGCTCCAACAATGGAAGTTTTTTGAAGGATGTTGGATAACCATTTGTCTGAAGTAGTGTAGTGTTTCCTGCCTAGGCAGGGGGTTGGACTAGAAGACCTTCAAAGACCCTTGCGTTATTCTATTCTATTCTATTCTATTCTATTCTATTCTATTCTATTCTATTCTATTCTAGATAAGGCATTGGGGGGAGGTATTGGACTCAGTCCTTTTATAACTGCATAGAGCCTTCAAACTAATTCCCTGTTTGACTCCTCCCACTGACTCAGCCAGTCTCTCTCCTATAAGTAGCTAGAGGAACAGTATGGTTGTTTGTTCGTGAAGTGTTAGTACCACTTTATAATGCCTTGGTAAGACCACACTTGGAATATCCAGCTTTGGTCACCCCAATATAAATATAAAATAGTTGTTGAGACTCTAGAAAGAGTGCAGAGAACAGCCGCAAAGATGATTAACATACCAGAGGCTGAAACATATGATTAGTTGTAGGAATTGGGTGTGCTTAGTTTAATGAAAAGAAGGACTAAGGGTTTTATGACAGCAATGTTTCAATATCTCAGGGGCTGCTACAAAGAAGAGTTAAGCTATTCTCCAAAGCATCTGAAGGCAGAATAAGAAACAATGGATGGAAACTAATCAAGGAGAGAAGCAACTTAGAACTAAGGAGAAATTTGAAGACAGTTAGAACAATTAATCAGTGGAACAGCTTGATTCCAAAAGTGGTGGATGCTCCAACACTGGAGGTTTTTACAAGTTTGGACAACCTTTTGTCTGAAATGGTATTGGGTTGAACTAGGAGGTTGAACTAGAAGACCTCTAAGGTCCCTTCCAACTCTGTTATTCTGTTATTTGCAGAGTTTGAGGCAATTTCCTTTCGTATTTGAGTACAATTAACTGTTGTGCTAGACGTTCCCTTTGAAAAAGGAACACTCCCTGCTCTCTAATGTTGTTCAAGACAATCCAGCTTGGGTGCAATTTATCTTTCCGAATGTCTTCCTGTGACTCTTTTATTGCTTCCAACACATTGACACATTATGTCAGCTGTACAAAAGGTAACTGGAAATGGCAGCTGGCAAGAAAGCATATCACCATGCCTGGAATGAAATGGATTATCAAGACGGCAAGAGTTGCTGGCAGCTGTGGTCTGCTTTAATTTGACCTGCTGAATTACTGATGGTTGAAGAGGAGAGATTGATTTGTGAAAGATAATACTTGGATTCCCTGCAAGAAAATAAATTTAAAACTGGTAGAAGGGTTTAAAAAAACAACAACACATGGAGGGAGCTACTTTTAAGCTCCATCTCTCCTTCTTACTCAATACATGGAGAGATTCAACCATAGTTTCAACTGGGAAACTGTGAGCTTCCTAGGTCAATCTAAACCCCAAAATGATAGGGAATTGCTGGAAGCTTGGCATTCAGACAAATCAGCCATCAACAGACACACAGAGATCAACCATATTTACATACCATTGAACAGAGACAATAAAAATGCTAAGAAGGAAACGAAAGAATCAGAACCTATCCCTTATAACAGTCAATACCCAGATGAGCCAAGTGAGACATTTGTCAAATGAGTTTTGCCCCATTTTACAAGCTTTTTTGCCACAATTGTTAAGCAAATCACTGCAGTTGTTAAGTTGGTAACACGATTGTTAAGTGAATCCTGCTTCCCCATTGACTTTTCTTGTTAAAAGATCGCAAAATTTGACCCTGCAACTGTCATAAATATCAATCAGCTTCCAGGTGTCCGACTCTTGATCACGTAACTGTGGGGATGCTGCAATGGTCATAAGTGTGAAAAATGGTCATAAATTATTTTTTCCTGTGCTGTCGTAACTTCGAACAGTCACTAAAAAACCTGTCAAATTATTTTTGACTTAACAACTCAAGTCTTTGAGGGGCTTTTGAAATTATAAAGTTGGAAGGGTCACCATATATTCCCCTCCTCATTTAAGCGGCATGAAGTCAAGCTCAGGAAAATCAAGAACTCCAGGCAGTTCAACTCAATATAAAGGTTTATTGCAAGCTTAAACTCTTTACAAGAATCTGAACTACTAGATGTAGTGGTAGATAAGAGTCAGCGGAATTCAAGGTAAAGACTAGACTAGACTAGACTAGACTAGACTAGACTAGACTAGACTAGA